GAACGGCGGTGCCTGAACGCTGAGAGACGTCTACCCCCTCCAAAAATTGAGATAGTGGGGAAGCAAAGGTGTGGGTGCGGTCCGAGAATAGATCGTAGGCTCTTAATACCAAGTGTTACGAGTGCAATTGAGCGAGCGAGCGAGAATTGCACTGTCGAAGCAAAAATACATTGAGCGAAGGCATGAGCGAAGAATATATAACGAAGCTAGCATGGTAACGGTAATGCGGGAAATTGGGGTGCGCTACGGGCCTAGCGCCGAGGTTGGGGAATGTCGAGGCGGAGGTCCGGAGCGTGGGTTACCAACCGAACCGTTGGGTTGGGTCGCATCGTGAACAATGGCGGGATTCGTGGTCGAGGCGAGTGTCACGAGAGGGTAACGTTTCACTGTTGGGTGCCGATGGCGGGAATGGTCATGTACGCAGTAAGCAGGGGCGCGAAGTAAGGAAAATGAAATTTCCTTACAATGAGTGAAGGCATGAGCGAATACTTATGTGCAAAAACATGCAACGGTTACGCGGTGCGCGCGAACTAGCTAGTGCTAGGCTGGCATCGAGGTTCGGGCTAGTCCCGAAGCGTAGGCCGGCTCGGCCATGCCATCGGTGCATGGTTTGGTAAAACAGTGCGCGTGCAATTGGCGAAGCCCTGTTAGCAGTAACGAGTGAACAACGGCTGCTGTTGTACGCGTTGTGGATGGTCGCGGTAAGGAATGTCGAGAAAATTCCTTACACTACCCCCCCCCCCCCCCCCCCCCCCCCCAGTCTTAAGTTCTGTGTGTCGAGCAGTACGTAATTCCCTGACTAGTACGTGACTGGGCGGCGATGGCGGTCAGCGTTTCGTTTTGCAATGACGTTGGCTTTTTTAATTGCTTCTGCTGCTCGCGTTCGGGCAGCTTGCAGGATCTCGGCGAACTGTTGTGCGCGTAGCGTGGGGTTGTCCGGACTCGGCGTCATGGGCACTGTTGGGTTTTGCCCGTAGTTGAAGTAGAACGGGGACTGCTGCGTCGTCGCTGGCGTGGCGTTGTTGTAGGCGAACTCAATCAGCGGCAGCTGCTGCTCCCAAGTTGTCGGATCGTCGCACGTGGCACGAATCAACTGTTCCATGGTCTGGTTCGTCCGCTCCGTTTGACCGTCGGTCTCGGGGTGGTACGACGAGCTGAACTGTAGCCTGGTCCCGAACTGCTCCCAAAGGTTCTTCCAGAAGTTGCTGGTAAATTTCATGTCGCGGTCGCTGATTATCGCAACTGGTATCCCGTGCAGTCGAACGACGGTTGCGATGAACAGGCGAGCGGTTTCTTCGGCTGAGATCGACTTTTTGTATGCAGCAAAGTGGGCAATTTTCGTCAGTCTGTTAACGACGACCATAACCGCGTCGTTACCCCCAGGATTCGAGGGTAACCCCATGACGAAATCCATGGTAACCTGCTGCCAGGCGCGCTCGGGCGGTGGAATCGGCTGCAATTGACCCGCCTTTCTTTTTCGCGAGCTCTTCATCACCTGACACATAGGACACGACCCCACATGGTGATGTACGTCGGTCACCAGCTCCGGCCAGTAGTAATACCGTTGCAGTTGCTGTCGCGTTTTTTCTACCCCAAAATGACCCGAGGTAATCTCGTCGTGTGCCTCTTGCAGTAGCAGTTCCCTCAGTACTAAATACACTGGTACCCAGATGCGATTGGTACCGGCTTTTACGTAATACACTCCCTTAGCTTCTGTTAGCTGCTGCGAATTTCCGGTCGTGAAGAATGGGTCGGTGCTGTATCCGTGGGTGAATATGCCTATTTACAGTTGGTTGGTTTGGGCGAGTAGGATTGGGTGAAGTTGGGCGGTGGGGCGGGTGAGTGCGTCGGCGATATTTGATGCTCCCTTTTTGTACGTGACGGTGTAGTGGAAGTTGGACTCCAGATAGTCCAACCAGCAAATCTGTCGCGGATTGAGTTTCGGTTGGGCGCGGAGGTACTGTAGTGCACGATGGTCTGTCCGTACTGTCACGTCGGCTCCTGTCAGGTAGCACCACCACACCTTGAACGCGTGCACGATCGCCAGCATCTCGCGGTCGTGTATCGGGTAGTTGCGTTCGGGCGGGTGAAGTTTGCGAGACTCGTACGCGTTTGGTTGAAGGCCGTTCCTGAAGTCCTGCAACAATACTGCCCCCACAGCGATGTCACTTGCGTCGGTGATGAGCTCGAACGGACGGTGAGGATCTGCGATGCGAAGCACGGGCGGCAAGCACAAAAAAAAATTGAGGGCCAAGAAGGCAGCTGGCTTTTTCTCCCCCCACGTGGACTCAACCCTCTTCCTCAGCAGGTCGGTCAACGAGGCAGTCAACTGCGCCATTTCGGGGACGAACCGTCGCACGTAGTTGACGAACCCCAGAAAACTCTGCAACTCAGTCAAGTTTGTCGGCGCGTGCCATGCTTGAATCGTCGCAATTTTTTTGGTGTCCATTTCCACTCCGTCAGCTGAAATGATGTGCCCTAAAAACTCCAGTATGTCCTGTAGAAACTCACACTTAGAGGCTTTCGTCAGTAGGCGGTTCTCACTCAGTATTTTGAAAACAGCGTCGATGTCCCGTAGGTGCTGTGCTTGGCCTGTGCTATAGATCAGTATGTCGTCTAAGTACACGATGACGCACTTATCTAAAAGCAGGCGGAAGGCTTCGTTCATGGTCATTTGGACTGTGGCGGGGGCGTTGGTCAGTCCAAAGGGCATTACCGTGTATTCGAATGATCCGTAGCGTGTTCGGAATGCGGTTTTCGGGCAGTTGGGCGGGTTGACACGGATCTGGTGGTAGCCTCTGTCAGAATCCCAACCACTAGACAATTGGGATAAAAGGGCTTGTTAAGTAGCGGGTCAGTGCGCCCATAACCCCCCAGGACAACGAGCTTGTAACCCTTCCCTATGATCAATCGGGCATCCACAGTGCAGATCTACTAACACCCCCCCACAATAGGAGGCCCAAGACTGAGCACAGCGACAACGGCCTACATGTGCATACACCGGGATTCGAACCCGAGACCGCTCTGATACCATGTCAGAATCCCAACCACTAGACCATTGGGATAAAAGGGCTTGTTAAGTAGCGGGTCAGTGCGCCCATAACCCCCCAGGACAACGAGCCTGTAACCCTTCCCTAGGATCAATCGGGCATCCACAGTGCAGATCTACTGACAGCCTCCTCGAAGGTCGATTTTCGAGAAAAACTGGGCTGTACGCAGTTGGTCGATCAGTTCGTCGGCTCGCGGGATGGGGTAACGGGACTTGATGGTAACTCGGTTCAGTGCGCGGTAATCTATGCACATGCGAAATCCCCCGTCTTTCTTCGGCGTGAACAGTATCGGTGCTGCGAACGGTGACGAACTCGGGCGAATAAACCCCTTTTCGAGCACGTCATACAGCTGCTTCCTGTCAAATGTATATGCCTTAGCCTATATAGGCTGTAGTGGGGTAGTTCCTAGAGGGTACAACACTTTTGTGTTCTCTATTTGTACCCACCTCATTTCTAGTTCAATCATTCCTGTTTAATTCTTCACATGGTATAGAGCGGGTTCCCTCATGGGACCGTTCCTTCCTAAGGGCCCACCATAAGCAAAAAAATTTTAGCTGCCCGAAGCGCGTCTCGCGCCCTGCCCTAAATTTTTTTTTTTGGCGGCCCCCTAGCGGCCCCTAACGGCCCCTACGCGGCCCCTACGCGATCCCTACGCCGCCCCTAAACGGCCCCGTTGCGGCCCCGTACCTGACGCGGCCCCGTCCCTGACGCGGCCCCGCCCCTACCCGGCCCCTATGCGGCCCCTACGCGGCCCTTAAGCGGCCCCCACGCGGCCCCTACGCGGCCCCTACGCGGCCCCCTACGCGGCCCCTACCCGGCCCCTACGCGGCCCCCTGCGCGGCCCCCTACGCGACCCCTCAGCGGCCCCTACGCCGCCCCTACACGGCCTGACCGGGCCCCGTCCCTGACGCGGCCCCTACGCGGCCCCTACGCCGCCCCTACGCGGCTCCTACGCGGCCCCTAAACGGCCCGACCCGGCCCCGTACCTGACGCGGCCCCTACGCCGCCCCTAAAAGGCCCCGTCCCGGCCCTACCCTGGCCCCGTCTCGGCCCCGTCCCGGACCTGCCCCGGCCTCGACTCCGTCCCGGACCTGCCTTGGCCCCGACCCCGTCCCGGACCTGCCCCGGCCCCGACCCTGTCCCGGCCCTATCTCGGCCCCGTCCCGGACCTGCCCCGGCCCCGACCCCGTCCCGGACCTGCCCCGGCCCCGACCCTGTCCCGGACCTGCCCCGGCCCTGACCCTGTCCCGGCCCCGTTGCTGCCCCGTCCCGGACCCTGCTCAGCCCCGACCCTGTCCCGGCCCTGTCACGGCCCCGACCCAGTCCCGGACCTGTCGGCTCCGCCCCTGGTAAGAGCCTAGCCGGGCCAAGCCGCGCGGCCGAGCCGCACTGCTTTGCCGAGTCGCCCTGCCGAGTCGCACTGTCCTGCCTCGCTCAGTTGCACTGCTGCCGCTGCTAGTCTGCTGCTGCTCCTATCATGGCTAGTCCTAGTCTTCTCACCTTTGATGCTGAGGGTCGAGCGGTTGACTTTGATGTCTAGCTAGATGATCTGCAGCTTTTCGTTCAGTGCGATAGCAAGGATGGTCTCTCCCTGTTTGATCTTACGTCGGGTGCCTCTACTGCCCCTGCTGCTGATGCTGACAGTACCGTTCGCTCGCAGTGGCTCACGCGCGATGCTGCTGCCCGCCTTGCTGTGCGTAGTCACCTACCGTCTACTGAGCGCGCGCACTTTAGTCAGTACAAGAGTGCTAAGACTCTGTACGATGCAGTAGTTGCACGTTACTCTTCCCCTGCCACTGCTGCGCTTAGCCGCCTCATGCTACCGTACCTGTTCCCTGACCTCGCTGCTTTTGCCACAATCACTGACCTCATTACGCACCTCCGCACTAGTGACACTCGCTACCGCGCTGCGCTTCCTGCTGAGTTCTGCGCCCAGAACACCCCCCCCCCATGTACATCACCCTCTTCTACCTAGTCACCCGACTCCCTGACACTCTCCGCTCGTTCAGGGACCACTTCCTCTCTCTTTGCCCTACCACCCTCACTGTCGACCTCCTCGAGGAGCGCCTCCTTGCAGAAGAGACTAGTATCACCGCTGTAGGCGCCTCTCGTGGTGACCCCCGTACCCCTTTCTTTGAGGGGTGCTCCCCCGTTCCTCTTTTGCCCTCTGTTGCCTCTGCTGCTGCTGTCGACCTTGTTGGCACCGAGTCGGTCAGCGCTGCGTCTGCTCCTAGTGAGAGGCGCCGCATCAGCAAGGGCAAGCGGGGCAAGGGAGCTGGAGGAGGTGGTGGGGGCGGCGGTAGTGGCGGTGGAGGCGGAGGAGGGGGTGGGGGTGGAGGTGGTGGTAGAGGTGGGGGCTTCGGTGGCGGCGGTGGAGGTGGAGGCGGCGGTGGCGGTGGCGGGAGGGGTGGAGGAGGCGGAGGCGGCGGCGGCGGAGGTGGAGCTGGCAGAGGCGGAGCTGTGCAGCGGGGACCCCAGCAGCAGCAGCGCTCTCATGAGACCCCTTCGCCCCAACAGCTTCGTGAGTGGTACGCGGGGCGCCAGGGGTCTGGGGGTGCTGGTCCCTGTACTTACGTCCTGCGCACCGGTGACCGCACTGGAGAGCAGTGTGGCGGCCTGCACGCCACCCAGCGCTGCTTCGGTCGCCTGACGGACGCCTGGCGTGCCCAGTTCCCGGACGCCACTGAGATCCCTCGTTGGGGAGATCTATTCAGGTCGGGGGTAGCTATCTTTGATCTTGACTTTGATGCTATTCTTGCTGCCATGTATGCTGTGTCTATTAGTGCTGAGGGTGACTGTTACGTGTGTGTTCCGCCTGACCCTGGTATTGAGGCTGCTGCTCTAGGTGCTAGTGAGTCTGCTGCTCCAGGTACTCGTGAGTCTGCTGCTCTAGGTGCTGGTGAGTCTGCTCTCTCAGGTACCGAGTCGGCTCAGGTCTTTCACACCTTCACCCTCGACTCGGGTGCTTCCCGCTCCTTCTTTCGAGACCGCACCACCCTTACGCCGCTCAGTCGGCCGGTTGCGGTCTCCCTGGCAGACCCCTCTGGGGGTCCTGTCCTTGCTCGCTACTCCACTGTCCTCCCGTGTCCGGCGGCCCCGTCAGGCTCCCTGTCTGGTCTCTACCTCCCCTCGTTCTCCACGAACTTGGTGAGTGGTGCTGACCTTCAGGATGCCGGAGTTGACCAGTTCACTCCTGCAGGTCAGCGAGTGACCCACTGCACGTGTGCTCAGACGGGCCGCCACTTGGCCTCGTTTACCCGTCGACCAGGGTCGAGCCTGTACACACTGACCACAGAGTCTCCTCCGGTTGCTGCGTCTGGTCAGGTAGCTGCGTCGAGTCAGGTGTTTGCTGCAGCGTCTCGGTCAGGTCCTGAGTCTGCCCCCTGCTCGTGTCGCCTCCTGTCCCACCAGACCCTCCTCTGGCACCACCGCCTTGGTCACCCCTCCTTGCCTCGTCTCCGAGGCATGGCCTCCCGTGTCCTTGTCTCTGGTCTCCCCCGGTCCCTCCCTCCCCTTCCCCCGGGGCCTGCCCCTACCTGCGTTCCCTGCGTCGAGGGGCGGCAGCGCGCCGCTCCTCACTCCTCCGAGTTTCCCCCGACAGAGGCTCCACTGCAGACTCTTCACATGGACGTGTGGGGCCCAGCCCGCGTCCGTGGACAGGGTCACGAGCGTTACTTCCTGCTGGTGGTTGACGACTACTCGCGTTACACCACTGTCTTCCCCTTGCGCAGCAAGGGTGAGGTCACTGAGGTGTTGATCGACTGGATCCGCGTTGCTTGTCTCCAGCTCAGAGAGCGTTTCGGCTCGGACTTTCCTGTCCTGCGTCTGCACTCCGACAGAGGCGGAGAGTTTTCCTCCGACCTTCTGCGAGCCTTCTGTCGTGCGGAGGGCATCCGCCAGACGTTCACGCTTCCGGCCTCTCCACAGCAAAATGGGATTGCTGAGCGCCGCATTGGCATGGTCATGGATGTCGCTCGTACGTCCATGATCCATGCGGCTGCTCCCCATTTTTTGTGGCCGTTCGCGGTTCAGTACGCGGCGCATCAGATCAACCTTCAGCCCTGGGTCTCCCTGTCGGAGACCTCCCCTACTCTGCGGTGGACGGGGAAGGTTGGTGATGCGTCTGGGTTCCGTGTCTGGGGATCTCGAGCTTTCGTCCGAGACTTGTCTGCGGACAAGCTGTCCTCCCGTGCTGTTCCTTGCGTCTTCCTCGGCTTTCCCCCTGACGCGCCTGGTTGGCAGTTTTACCACCCCACCTCGCGTCGTGTTCTGTCCTCCCAAGACGTCACGTTTGACGAGTCGGTTCTGTACTACCGTCTCTTCCCCTACCGCACTGCCCCCCTCCCCCCCCCGCCGCTCTTCCTCGCTCCCGGTCCCCCCCCGGTAGACCCCCTCCCCCCTCAGGGTCCTGCCCCCTCAGGTGTGTCCCAGGTAGATGCAGTCGAGCCTGTCGAGGTAGCTGCTGACTCTGGTGCGTCTGGGGGTGCTGGTTCTGGGGGTGCTGAGCCTGAGCGTGCGGGGCCTGGGGGTGCTGCTTCTGGGGGTGCTGAGCCTGGGGCTGCTGGGAGTGGGGGTGTGGAGCCTGTCGGTGCTGGACGTGGCGGTCCTTCGGGTGCTTTGTCCCGGCGGGAGCTTCCCTCTCCACAGGAGCTGCGCGAGTGGTTTGCTCGCCGCTGGAGCCGTGCTGCTGGAGCTGGAGGTGCTGCCGGTGCTGGAGGTTCTGCTGCTGCTGGAGGTTCTGGAGCTGGAGGTGCTGCTGGAGCCGGTACTGGAGGTTCTGCTTCTGCTGGGGGTGCTGGAGCCACGGGTCCCGGAGGTGCTCGTACTGGAGGTACTGGAGCTGATGGGCCTGGTGGTGCTCCTGGTGCTGGAGCTACTGGTGGAGCTGGAGATGGTGGTGCTGCTGGAGTGGGTGCTACTGGAGGTACTGGAGCCGGAGCGGCTGTGTCTGCTGGTGGTCCTGCTGGAGCTGGAGCTGCTGGAGGTACTGGAGCTGGTGGTGCTGCTGGAGTTGGAGCTGACGCTGGGGGTACTGGTGTTGTCCCTGCTGGTTATGGAGGTGTTGCGCGGCCGCGGCCGTACTTCGTTCCGCTCCTTGAGCAGGTTCTTGGTCTTCCGCCTTCTCCTAGTCCTGCTCCTTCCTTGGCGTGTCCTCCGCCTGTCCAGTCCGAGTCACAGTTACAGCTGGCCTCCCCTCTACCTGCTCCTTCTCCCTACGCTGGTCCTACTGGAGGTCTTGCTGAGCGTCGTGACCCTGAGTCGCGTCCTGCGTCGCCTGTTCGCACTGCTCGCACTAGTCGTCGTGTTCCACGTCCGCGTCCTCCTCCAGTCCCTGGCACGCATCAGATGGCACTGCGTCCTTCCACTGCGCCACAGCGTGTCCCTTTGCCGTCTCCTCCAGAGTCCTCTCTTCCTGCTCTTGCTGACCCGGCGTCTGACTCCCTTCGTGCTGCCAGTCCTATTGTCACGCGTTTCCTAGCCACTGTTGTCACTGACCCTTCCTTTGAGTCCACTGCTGCGTCTGCCTTAGTTACCGAGCTTGTCGACTTCGCTGCTCACTGTCGTCTAGACTACGCCGCTAGTCTTGTTGCTGAGTCTGCGTCTGTCTGTCCTCCGTCCGTCGGGGGTGAGTGTGCTCTTAGCACGGACGTCCTTGAGGACCGACAGGAGGAGTTCCAGTGTTTTGCTGCTGCTTTACCTCATCTCGTGTCCACGCTGCTTGCCCCTGAGGGAGACCCGGATGCACCAGACATCCCGACCCCGCGCTCTTACGCAGAGGCGATAGAGGGTCCTTACTCCTCTAAGTGGCAGGCAGCCATGGACGCAGAGATGGCTTCCTGGAAGTCCACAGGTACCTACGTCGACGAGGTTCCCCCACCTGGGGCGAACATCGTCAGTGGCATGTGGATTTTCAGGGTGAAGCGGCCGCCGGGTTCTCCGCCTGTCTTCAAGGCGCGTTACGTGGCTCGAGGCTTCAGTCAGCGGCAGGGAGTTGACTACTTTCAGACCTTCTCCCCGACCCCGAAGATGACCACTCTTCGGGTTCTGCTGCACGTTGCTGCTCAGCGTGACTACGAGCTTCACTCCCTTGACTTCAGCACTGCTTTCCTACAGGGCAGTCTGCACGAGGAGATCTGGCTGCGCCGCTCACCTGGCTTCACTGGGTCGTTTCCTCCTGGTACCCAGTGGAGCCTCCGGCGGCCAGTCTACGGTCTCCGCCAGGCGCCACGTGAGTGGCACGACACACTGAGGACTACGCTTGCGGCTCTTGGGTTTGCTCCTTCCACTGCTGACCCGTCGCTGTTTCTTCGCACCGACACTTTGCTGCCGCCGTTCTACATCCTCGTGTACGTCGACGACTTGGTGTTTGCTTCAGCTGACACTGCTGGACTCGCCCACGTGAAGTCCGAGCTGCAGAAGAGACACACGTGCACAGACCTGGGTGAACTGCGCAGCTATCTTGGCTTGCAGATCACCCGGGACAGAGCACGGCGCACCATTACTCTGACTCAGTCACACATGGTGCAGCAGGTCCTTCAGCGCTTCGACTTCACATACTCCTCGCCTCAGGCCACTCCTCTGTCTACTCGCCACTCGCTCTCAGCTCTGCCTTCGGATGAGTCCGTAGAGCCGAGTGGCCCGTACCCAGAGCTTGTTGGCTGCCTCATGTACCTGATGACCTGCACTCGACCTGACCTAGCATACCCTCTGAGCATCTTGGCACGCTATGTTGCTCCTGGGAGACACCGACCAGAGCACATGGCTGCAGCGAAGAGGGTGTTGCGCTACTTGTGCAGTACTTCGGGCTTGGGGCTAGTGCTTGGAGGGCGGAGTCCAGTGGTCCTCACTGGTCACGCAGACGCGTCTTGGGTTGACGACCTGGCTACTCAGCGGTCGTCACAGGGTTACACCTTCAGCCTTGGTTCCGGCTCTGTTTCGTGGCGGTCTACTCGCTCGTCTTCTGTTCTCAGCTCCAGCTGTGAGGCTGAGATCTACGCAGGGGCCATGGCTGCACAGGAGTTACGCTGGCTCACCTACTTGCTGACTGACCTGGGAGAGCCGCCTCGTTCTCCTCCAGTTCTGTATGTAGACAACAAGGCTATGCTGGCCTTGTGTCGGGAGCACAGACTGGAGCACAGAACGAAGCACATTGCTCTTCGCTACTTCCTTGCTCGTGAGCTGCAGCAGCGTGGTCAGCTGCGCCTTGCTTACGTGGCCTCTCAGGCCAACACTGCTGATATCTTTACCAAGGCACTTCAGCCTTGTGATCATCAGCGCTTCTGTACTATGCTAGGTCTTGTGCCTACTTGGCCTCACTTGCTTACCTCTTGACTTTCCTTGTACTGTGATCTATATATACCTGCACTTGCTTGTTTACCTTTATATATGAACTTGCATGTGAACTGGCCTTGTGGCCTTTGAACCGGTGCTCAGACTGTGTGGTGACGTTGTGATCCACCCTGAGCTTGCTTTGCTTTGCTTTGCTTGACTGGTCTTGTGACCCCTAGTTCTCCCCCACTTTGCCTATGGGGGTGTGTCAAATGTATATGCCTTAGCCTATATAGGCTGTAGTGGGGTAGTTCCTAGAGGGTACAACACTTTTGTGTTCTCTATTTGTACCCACCTCATTTCTAGTTCAATCATTCCTGTTTAATTCTTCACACTTCCGTAGTTCGTCTAATTCGGGTTGGGTCAGTCGGAACTGTCGCTGTAGTGTCGGCTGTGCCCCCGGTTCTAGTTCTATCCTGTGGTCGTGCGGTTTCTGAGGTGGCAGTCCTGTCGGCAGATCGTCCGGAAAAATCCCACTGTACTGCTTCATAGCGCTGCCAAGTCATCCGGTATGTCGGCGAGCAGTTTCTGTTAATCCACCCTTTTGTCTGCTGCCTCGGCTTCTCGAATGTCAACCGCATACACATCAGCTCCTGTCGCTACGGCGCTTTTCATCGTGATCGCGTTGACACGCACCGACGAAGACTCAGGAGAGCCCCAGCGAGGTACGGCGATATTGTTACCGTTCACTTGCACAGTGTAGTCACCTGTCGTCCAGTCGATTCGCAGATTATGTCGTCGCAGCCAATCACGGCCGAGTAAAATGTCAGTTCCGTCGAGGGTCGTTACGAGCATTTCCTGGCTAAATGTGATGTTACCCCCGCATCGGATCCGAACTCGGTCTACACGTTCCCGTATCGCCAGTAGCGTGCTGTCAACCAGTCTTGCGTCAATCTCAGGTAAACACCTGTCCAGTGGCAGTTTCAGACTCCATGCTATGGCAGTGTTGACGAGGCTGTGGCTGGCTCCCCCATCTACGAAGATTTTAAGTTAGTCTGTCCCAATCTTGTTAGAATGTGAGCGAATGAATGACTGAACTAGAAAGCAGGTGGGTACATATAGGGAACCTAAAAGTGTTGTACCCTGTAAGAACTACCCTACTACAGCCTAAACAGACTATAGCATATAAGTTTGACACACCCCCATAGGCAAAGTGGGGGAGAACAAGAGGTCACAAGACCGGTCAAGAAGCTCAGGGTGGATCACGACGTCACCACGCATTCTGAGCACAAGCAAATGGCCACAAGGCCAGTTCACATGCAGAGTTATATAAAGGAGAACAAACAATACAGTGAACACAACTTAGCAAGTGTAAGCATGCATGTATATGTATAAAGACTACAGTACAAGCAGAGTCAAGAAGAAAGCAAGTGAGGCACAGTAGGTACAAGGCCTAACACAGTACAGAAACGCTGATGATCACAAGGCTGAAGTGCCTTGGTGAAAACATCAGCAGTGTTGGCCTGAGAGGCCACGTAAGCAAGACGAAGCTGGCCACGCTGCTGCAACTCTCGAGCAAGGAAGTAGCGCAGAGCAATGTGCTTCGTTCTGTGCTCCAGTCTGTGCTCTTGACACAAGGCCAGCATGGCCTTGTTGTCGACGTACGAGACTGGAGGAGAACGAGGCGCCTCTCCCAAGTCGGTCAGCAGGTAAGTGAGCCAGCGTAGCTCCTGTGCAGCCATGGCCCCAGCGTAGATCTCAGCCTCACAAGTGGAGCTGAGAACAGAAGAAGAGCGGGTAGACCGCCAAGAGACAGAACCGGAGCCAAGAGTGAAGGTGTAACCCTGTGACGACCGCTGCATAGCCAAGTCGTCAACCCAGGAGGCGTCAGCGTGACCAGTGAGGACAACTCGAGCCCGTCCTCCAAGCACGAGCCCCATGCCCGATGTACTTCACAAGTATCGCAACACCCTCTTCGCAGCATCCCAGTGCACCTTTCGGTGCCTGCCGGGAGCCACGTAGCGAGCCAGAAGGCTGAGAGGGTATGCGAGGTCAGGTCGTGTGCAAGTCATCAGGTACATGAGGCAGCCCACAAGCTCTGGATACGGGCCACTCGGCTCTACGGACTCGTCCGAAGGTGGAGCTGAGAGCGAGTGACCGGTAGGCAGAGGAGTGGACTGTGGCGAGGAGTACGTGAAGCCGAAGCGCTGAAGGACCTGCTGCACCATGTGTGACTGAGTCAAGGTAATGGTGCGCTGTGCTCTGTCCCGGGTGATCCGCAAGCCAAGATAGCTTGTCAGCTCACCCAGGTCTGTGCACGTGTGTCTCTTCTGCAACTCGGACTTCACGTGGGCGAGTGCCTCAGTGTCAGCAGTAGCAAAGACCAAGTCGTCTACGTACACGAGAACGTAGAACGGAGGCAGAGTAGTGTCAGTGCGTAAAAACATAGAAGGGTCAGAAGTGGAAGGAGCAAAACCAAGAGCAACAAGAGTCGTCTTGAGTGTGTCGTGCCACTCACGGGGTGCCTGGCGGAGACCGTAGACTGGCCGCCGGAGGCTCCACTGGGTACCAGCAGGAAACGACCCAGTGAAGCCAGGTGGGCGGCGCAGCCAGATCTCCTCGTGCAGGCTGCCCTGGAGGAAGGCTGTGCTGAAATCAAGCGAGTGGAGCTCGTAGTCACACTGAGCAGCAACGTGCAGCAGTACCCGAAGAGTGGTCATCTTCGGGGTAGGGGAGAAGGTCTGAAAGAAGTCAACTCCCTGTCGCTGACTGAAGCCACGTGCAACGTAACGCGCCTTGAAGGCAGGCGGAGAACCCGGCGGCCGCTTCACCCTGAAGATCCACATGCCACTGACGATGTTCGCCCCAAGTGGGGGAACCTCGTCTACGTAGGTGCCTGTGGACTTCCAGGAAGCCATCTCAGCGTCCATGGCTGCCTGCCACTGAGAGGAGTAGGGACCCTCTATCGCCTCTGCATAAGAGC